AGACGACCTGAAAACCGATTTGGCCAACTTTTTCGTAGCGCAGCCGCCAGAGTTCTATTGGAATGGCATCCATAGTTTGCATAAACGTTGGCGTGAAGTGATAGAGGCCAATGGTGATTACATTCATGATTGAGATGATTTTGCTTTTAAATAAACTGGGTTGTAATCATTGTTCATGAAATTCCGAGAACTTTCTTTCCAATCAGATACCTTAAGGTGAACCCGAAGTGAATTGTTTATTCGGTCTTCCCCTGAATCCAGGACTGTACGGACTGTAGGGACCGTACTGTTTCGGCAACCGCAGGTATGGCACCATCGACAGGTTTCCTATCTGCCGGTGCCGATGTCCGAAGAACATCACGAAGATGTTCTCTATTTCTCATTCTAAAAGAATGAGAAAAAACCTGTGAAAGGGCTTGGCAACTGTCTCTCAATGCCAATAAGAAAATATTAAGACTGTCCTTATATCAATACATCCATCGATAAATGGATGTCATTCAGGGCCGTTTCGAGGGGCAGGCGATTGCCAAGGGCGCCTGCGGGAGGAAGGAGGGGGGGGGGGGGCACGGGACTTGCAAGGCATGATAGGTGGAAAAAAAGGCCTGAGAAGGGTCGTGATTTGAACCCGGGTCCTCCTGAATGCTGGACGGGTGTGCTAGCATCACACTACCGAACCCAGAGCATCCAGTTATCTTAGGTGCTAGACAGTAAGTATCGAAATGGGCAAAATCGCCTCTTGATATCACTAACTCTCTTGACTCGTGACTTGACCAGTTCCGGCTCCCTGCGGTGGTGCTTCGCGTCGCAGTTGTTGGTTTGGTGTGGAGGGGCGCGCCCTGGGCGCCAATAGAAGCCCAGATAGACCAATAGAAACTGCGCATTGCAGTGCACGGGGAGGAATAGCCGTCATGCCGACGGCACCCCGTAGACGCCGCGTCGAACGAGTCGTCGGATGACCCAGCGATTCCCGCCTCTCGTCCGACCCTTCGCCGCCATGCCATCGGTGTGAATGTCACACGAGGGAGGGCGAGGCGGATGACGCGAAACGTGCCTCTTTCTCTCCTGAACGAAATTGCAAGTCTCCCCCCCAAGGACGAGGCGCTGTTCGGTGACCTTGCTCAAAGGCATCATGTGATTCCTGCGTGATCCCTTCCACTCGCCGGCATCATTTTCCTCCCGCTCTCCGTTCACACTGCCACCGCACTTCCTTGCATCCCAGTCCGAGAACATCCTTCGAGTTATTTTCGTTAGGGCGCTCTGGGAGAAACGTTCGCGTCGCTTCGTCCCCGGTTCGACCTCTTTCCACCTCGTAAAGCCGAGATGAAATCCCCCATCGTGGTCGTGTCCAACCGTTTGCCGTTCATTCTCTGCAAAGATGACGACGGGGAGCTGCAGCGGAAGCCATGGTGAGTTTTTTCGACCTATTTCCTCTGTGAAGACGGTGTCTCCTTTTCCGCTCGTGTCTTTGTCATTTCGAGAAATTGATTGGTCGTTGCCTTTGGATGCGCTTTCACCTGGTATCAAACTCATCTGAAACCTTGTTTTTTGTTATTTAGGCATGCTCTAGGCTGTAATCGGGGTGACGTAACTTGGACGCGTCAGACCTAGATATAAACCGCTCGAGGGAATGCTTCGTGTCGATCGGTCCCTTATTTTCTTCGTAAAGTGACTCGCAAGGGATATTTGAGCAATTATTTTACTTCTATCATGTTAGTAGAGACAACACGGTTAAAGCGATGAATGACGAAAGAACGAAAGCATCGCATCGATTGTCTCCTCGAGCGAAGGCCCGAACTTCACGTCTTCTCCCTTCCAGCGCCGGCGGACTGGTGACAGCCGTGGCCCCAGTCGTGATCCAATGCGGCGGGCTCTGGGTTGGCTGGCCCGGGATCCACATGGACGATCCGCACCAGTCTGTTCCCGAGTCGGACCCAGGGGACAAGGGACCCTCGGCGGGCCTCAAGTCGGAACAGGTGAGGATGGGGTGCAGGTTTTGAGGCGCGTAGTACGGGACGTTGTTTTCCTTGTGGTAAGGACGGGTTACGGACTTCATCCTAAATTTATTCTATCTTGGCACGAACATATTCTAAGAAAGACCTGTTCCTCACATGCGTCTAGCGACAGACCGTCGCCGGCCAGTCGGAACGCAGCTTCCGTCTGCGTCATGATTCATGGACTATCCGCATATCTTGAACCCATCTCCTACATTCCCAAGTGGATATATGGAAAATAAAAATGCTCATGGTGCCATGTGGTCTTCGGGAAAGGTAAACCGATCAAACTTGGATATATGTATTTTCGATTCCCACTGAAGTAGGTGTAATATTAAAGTCAAGAGAGTTAGTGATATCGAGAGGCGATTTTGCCCATTTCGATATCACGTGTCGAGGTCGAGCTTTCCTTAATTTTAGGGTAGGCCTAACCCTCTTAAAGCTAAATATTTTTGCATTTTTGTTTTGTTTTGTTTTTTGACTATCCTAGTTGCTAGTCTAGTACCTAACGTCAACATTGCCCCCCACCTTTACGTGTCTTTGGGGCAAATGGGAATTATGAAAATATGATGAATTAAGAACGACGGAAGGTTTAGCAAGCCTCAAGGCCTTCAACGAGGCCTAGGCCTAATAATCTTTAGCAAAATCACTGGAAACGAAATTCGGCAAAAAAAGGCTGTAATGAAATACTAATTACATTAAAATGTTCTCATGACACGACGGTGCCTTACAAGTTGAGTGTGCTAACAGGGAAATATTTCGACGGGGGACAAAGGTGGCACGCACAGGTGCCGCATTTTTCTCCCTCCAGTGAAGCTCCGCCCCTGCCCATTTCTGATTGGTCAGGAGGAATTTTTTTGACAGACAAATATGGCACAACACCGGACGTCCACCACGATTCCTGAGGTTGGGATCAGAGAAATGCTCCGGCATGGCTACCACGTGGTGTTACAGGCTCGTTTGACCCCAAAAAGATGGCTTCAAAAGGTGCCGCGACAGCAGCGCCAGTTTCCGCCCCTTGGTATTCAAGGGGGTCTGGTGAATACCTGGCGCATGCGCAAAGGGATCACATTCTGATTGGCCGGCGACGGTCTGTCGCTAGACGCATGTCTTCCTGGAGGTATCTTGATTTATATTGTCCCTACGGTCGTAAACAAACCGGTATTTTTTTCCCCCCCACCCCCGCTCCCACTCCCGAAGATGATAGTTTTCTGTCCCCATTGTAGGTCGTAGTCGTCCACGTGGAGGAGCAGATTTTCGACGACTACTACAATGGATGTTGCAATGCTACTTTCTGGCCCCTCTTCCATTCCATGCCAGATCGGGCCGTTTTTGTGGCGGATATGTGGGAGGTAAGTAATCCCATCACAATTCATGCAGTTTTTTTTTCTTCGACTTTCAATTCTTGATAAGACGCAAATATTCGTTGGCTTAACCTTTAAAGTAGCAATGTGGAACATATTGCAAGATGTAAATCCGTACGGTCATGTATTCCACGCCGAACGGCGCATCGTGTAATGCGGCCTAATGGATCGCCTGTTGGATTGTAACCCAAGCAAATGATATCACCATGGTTTGGTAAGAACTTATGGGGTTGAATAGGGCATTTAAATTCGGACCGTGAGGAGACCAAGGCAATTCAAAACCCAATTTTTTAATCGTAAGGTAGTGGCTTTTTCACAGGAAGACCTATTTGCTCCTTAACTCCATAAAGAAGTCTCTCGACGTCTCCCCCCCTGCAATAGACCCCGCGTTGAGCGGGGGTTGAGGATAACCTGCCAAATTTAACCACCCAATCGGCCCTTAGCAAAAGAAGGACCCGGGCGAGAGACTTGGAGTAGGAAGCGGGTGAGACATGCGCAATCAGACCATCACCCTCTTTGTCTTCAGTTGTGTGTATGTCGTGGTCTGGTGAGGGTCACCTCCCGATTGTTGCAACCTCGGTTGCTGTGCACGGTCCGCCTCCGCGTGGCTCCCACGTTCAGTCTCTAGCTGTTGAGAGGCTGGGAAATCGCTAAATAATCAGAAGGCAACTTGAACTCCATCTCCCATGAGATATAGAACTGAAACGAAAGGAAAAGAACTAACTACTAGCGTAAGGCTGTCTTCGAACATCATGAGATCTACCACATGCCTACCGTATACAATACCTTCACCTTCGAGAAGTAGCTTCCATATCACATGGAAAGTGATACCAGAAATGCCAACCTATTTTACCGAAATCCCGACTCGGGGATACCCTTACACATATTTACTCATGCACAAGAGGACCGGCACGAAACACATATGCGTATGCAAGCAGAGCTCGACCATGAAAGTGCTAGGTCGGAAACCAGTTGCACGAGGAAAAGGGAGGCCAGACATGCTTCCTTGCGCTTTCCTACGTATTACTTTCGAGCAAGCGCAAGCGTTCAAGCACACACTTCAGCCTCAGGCTATGTTCACGCCGTCCTCAATGAATAGTGTTCTATTATATTACCATAAATCATTAATACTGATCCGTTCAACACTTTCTATGCTGACGTCGGTATAAGTGGCTTCCTTGAGGGAGGGAGAGGCGGCTAATCGAAATGGACATGGTTTACGCAGCAACAAGCAGGCGGTCTCGTTTTTCGATATCAGGTCGGGAACCTCGGCGTCTCATAGATATCGAAAAAACAAACTCGCCCACCTGCCGATCGGTGTGTGAGACCTGTTTTGATTATCCGACTCTCCCTCCTCATGAATCTTGTTTTTAGTGGGTCTCCTTTCCTGAAAGGAAAGAGACCACTTATAGTCCCGTCCTGTCCGTCAGTGTGTCCATGTGTCACACTTTGGTTTTCCGACGATAACTAAAAAAATATTGGTCTGATCAATGCGGAAATTGGTAAAGCGGGTAGATATGAACAATATACAGGCAGAGATCGTTTTGTGGTGAATTTGCACCAAAATTGGCATGTTTATTGCAAATTTTGGATTTGAAATTTGCTAACGGAGGGGAAGCCATGAGTACGTATGAGCCTTTCAGGATGTAGATCACAATGCGCATGCGCGTACGACCCAGGCTTTGAGCGCGGCGCCGTGTCAGCATCCAGAGCTGTCAGTTCTCTACCAAGCTTCGTGGCGGATAGATCCAACCATGCACAGCCCTCCATCGTCCCACCATTATTTCATGGGCACCGTTTGTTTATTTTTACTAAATACAAATGAGGTTTTTGATGGTCGAAGACCAGGAATAGATATCATTTTGTGCAATTAGGCGACAAAATGAGGGTTTCCTTAACCGAAAGGAAGTCCAATAGTGAACTGGGCTTGCCAAACTTGTTTTTCTAGGAAATACGAATGGGAAAACACCATGTATGGAAAAAAATTTAGGCATTTGAGTATTGCGTTCTATGCTCTCGGCGACCGAAACAAGAACTTATCCTCGACACGAGCGGGTCACGAGTCGTAGATTGGGTACCTCTGGTCTGAGACATCGATTGACCGTGGCTGATCCTAATCGGTAGCGACAAAACACAGTAGGATGCCCAAAACCGAGAATATTGCTATAGGGTGGCCAAAATTGAACTCGACTCAGATTTCCTGATGTAATATTTTATTAAACAGACCGAATTCGACAATTCTTATATGCACAGTAAGTATACTCTGTGGGCTTCTATAATGTAGATTTCGATGTGCTCCTCTACCATCTCGACGACCGATTCGTTTTTTACATTGAAAATTGGCTATTTCAGCATATAAGAGAGTATTTGACTGGCCACCTCATTCACCAGAATTAAATTCCTCTTTATCGACGCAACCCAAGAACTATCCCTGAACTAGAACCTGTGATTGAAACCGTTCGGTTTCATTTATGCGAAATTTATGCACTGAAATCAGCAAATTGAAATTGAAAAGGCTTGAATCGGTCTTCGAGATGGAAGAGGGGGGGAGGAGGAGGGAAAAGCTATGCTGGAAAGGAAGTGGAAGCTTTCGTGGAAGACGGGCTCCCCGACCCAGACGGAGAGCTTCGCGTTCGCAGCGGGTCGGGTCGTCCGGTTGCTAGGGACACTATGGACAGATGGAATGAAAAACCAGGGAGTACCAGCCCGGGTACCACTGGAATTATTACATATATTCACCGCATCCTAGCCATCCAACCTTGAAATAAATACTAGCTGTCATTGATTCGGCGTAAGCCTATATGAAATGTGACGAACCGATCGCAATATCTGGCATTTCCTCATAGGACCTATGGGAATGGCAGATAATCAAGAAATCCGAGTCAAGTCCATTTTTGACTGGCTACTATCTAATACCGAGAATTTTGTCTGACGGCTGATAAGACATGGACCGGAACCGCAGAAGCACATATATTCAATACCAATACCGCAGGGAAAATGGCAGGGTTGCTGGATGTACTTGACAGCATTAACCTCATTAATCCCTCCCACTTTCACCTTGATTTTCACTAGGTGGCGAGAGTGTCGCCTAGTTCGTGCGAGCGTACTTGCAAAACTCTCCTATCAAAGCCAATGAACGACGAGGATTGCATCTTCTACGAGAATTGGAAGTAGAGGAAAGTCAATGCAAGGGGGAAGGTTTCAACGTAAAATTTAAATCGTCCTAACTCTGGATTCAAGCGACGTAAAAAGCAACAACCTCAATTGCTAACTAGGAGCGACCGAGGACCTCACGTGCAACTCGAGCAATTTAATGAGGTCTTTAAAATGCACGAGAGTTGCTGTAGGGACCGAGGACTATCAAGATGTCGTCTGATAAGGATTGGTTTGTTTTTAGTCCAGATTGCAGATTTTTTTTTTAGCCAAGCCATTCATCCGTTTAGCACCGACGAAATGTTCTTGGCAGCAGGTCGCGCAATAATTTAGAAATCCGCGGATGTGACATGCGTCTCAACAAACCCATAAAATCTTTTCCTTTTTTTTCACTGCAGCTAGTCGCAGTGAATTCCCACGTGTCCTAAACTTTCAGTTTTGAACGTGTAGGAAAAATATACATTGCTCGGCGATATCGCGATCCGCCGTAAAGTGTCGTAAAGCCGGCCAGCTTTCGATCACCCGATATTTTGCATCCCTTGTGAGTTCCGTATTCAGCAACACTGGTGATTGGGCACTCGGGCATGTTGTCCTGCGATGACAGACTGCTTTTTTTTTTCTTGCTGCTTCGATTTTGATATTTTCTGCCGTTTCGGATCTTGCGTTTTGGCCACCCTGCGGTATCGGGCAAGGGCCGGTATCCGACGAGTCCTGACACGAAGGGGTCAAGTTGCGGAAGTGTGGCCACGGCCGAAAGGTGGCCACAGTGACACGATCTTCCCAGAGGAATTCCCAATTTTTAGAGGTTCAGTCGTGCCTGAGAAATAATTTTCGACGGTGATTGCCGATTACTAGCCCGAATTCCCTGCCCAATTCATTTTATTTGACTTTTTTTATACTTTTTTTTTCATCCTTTTTTTTTCTTCGATTGCTGTCATCGTCCCCTGTGGGAATCGAAATTCTCTTGTGTTTCGAGCAATTTCGGTGGGCCTTCTTGCGCCATTGTTCCCTCTACCGGTTGAAAAATGAGTGATGCATATGGGAGAAAATGTGACTTTGCTCCTGATCATTTTCGGATTGACGCGGAAGCTAATTACACAAATTACGAAAAGTAATTGCAGGAATAAAATGATCGGAAGTACTTACTGAAAATAATGGGGAAAAGGTCTAGAGGACACGAAAATTCGCTTTTTCGTTGCTATGACTTGATGCAGAAGGGCAGGATCTCTAAATATATGTAAAATCCCAAGAAATTATTTCTCTTCTCATACAGGGTGACCTCGATAGAAAGTTCACCGATGAATGGTCATGCACAACATAAACTAATGGATGAAAGAAGCTGAAACTCGGCACGGCAACTGCTGGCAGCATGGGCTTCTAATGTGAGAAACAAGCACGAGAAATGTCTTCTGAGACCCTACGGCCTCCCCTCCCCGGTATTTTTGGCCACAAAGCCAGCCTTTTCAAAATGGGCCTCAATTTTTCTCAACGCCGTTCGTGGGCATGGACCTTGGCGCATTTTGTGGCCTCGACGGTGCGACCTCAGGGTTGCCTCTGCATTCCTCTCGTTCTTTTAAATACTTTATATCAGTTGGACTCTCATAGCAAGCACTTACGGGTCGACTTTCCCCGGCCCAAGGTCACACACAAACCTTTTATGCAGTTCACATACCATGTGGCATGTGAATTGTGCCCCGGTGGTGCCATCTGCTGCCACTCTTATTTTCACGGATTGGAGACGCCTGCCTGTAGTTTGCGTGCCGAGTTTCAGCTGCCTCCGTCCATTTGCTTGCGCTCTAAACAGGATGTTCCATTTATCTTGAGGCTATGAGAATGTTGATATGATGGAGAAATGTGTAAATGACAATTTCAAGTTTCATTTCGGATTGAAGATGAAGTACTGCTAAGTTGTTAACAATTGCAACAACCTGTTCACCGCATGCTCCACAAAGATTTAAACTTGGTTTGTTGTTCAGATTGCGCAGTTGTTGCACCCACACCTGTCTGGCCCGACCTGGAGCGGATGGATTTCTTTGGGCTTTGCTAAATTGCAGAGCTGATTGTTAAATTGCAGAGATGACGGTGGCTATCGTCTCCCCTATTCACACTGATGTTGTCCGGTAGTGCTTCTTATCAGCCGCAAATTCCGTACATCCGTAAATTCGGCAACGTACTGCAGAATAGCGGAAATGCTTGGAGAGTCTCTTGCTTGAAATCCTCTTCTGAAATTTCTGTGCAGTCACTAGTGAGTTCCACTATCCCTGTAGGCACCAGAAATCCATTGTCAACAACTTAGTATTTCATCTTCAATTTAAAATGAAACTTAAAATTATAATTTTACACTGTTTTCCTTTAAGTCGACGTTCTCATGGTTGCAAGGTAAATGGAGCACCCCGTACATGGCCATTCATCTGTACACCTTTAAAACGGGTCACCCTGTAAAGATATATCAGCCTGAAACGAAAAAGCAGTTCGAAAAAATTTTCAGTAGCTGGAAAGAAAAATGCTTTCATTTACTGGAAACCGCATGAAAATCAACCAAATCTGAAGAGAGACTTGGCAAGTCCAAACGGAGGAACGAATCGTATTTTTATTTGCGCTTAATTTACGTACCCCATGGCTTCATATTTGGTGAATTTTCATTGAGTTTTTAGGGTGCGAGAGCTTAATCTTTCACTTTTTAAATGCGGGATTTAGTTTTAGTTCGAGAAAGTTGAATCCAGTGGTGCAACATTTTTACAAGAGGAAATCTGCACCTATGCTGCTTCATAGGCGCGCGGAGCCCCGAGGTGAATTCCGGCATGGCTCAAAATGTCACCGCGGAAAGGTGACGGCTCAAAATGTCACCGCGGGAAGGTGACGGCTCAAAATGTCACCGCGGGAAGGTGACACATCATTTCGCCTCTGAGGAAGAGCGCCTGACCTGGGCAAGGTACGAGCCCGGCTTGCTTGGCGCGTAGTGGTTTGGAGAAGTCAGGGCCACAGTTTCCCCTGTTGGGGAGGATTCGACCCGCTTCCTCCTTTTTCAACCTTATGAAAATATATTTTAAATGCGGAAAATGATTTTTCTTTTCCACCATGAATGGACATTTCAAGAAGAAATATCCTAGTTTCACTCCCCCTTTTTCTACTCAAGTATCACTTGCGAAAGTCATCGACGTTTAAATAAATTCTAATCCCCCCCCTTCCCCACTTGCCATAATGAATATGGTAATAGTGATGTTTCTTTATGTCTTCACTTCTCATTGGGAGAAGTAAAGACTAGAATCTTCAAAATTATGAATTTTGTTCATGCAATTTCTATTATTCCTCAACAGATTCTCTCAGGGGCTTTGCATTTTTTAGTGGAATATTTTTGCAATTGCTTCCATTTTGCACGAAGAAAGTAGGATCTGCGTGGCACGAAAAAAAAAGCACAGACATCGACACCAGCGCTGTCCAAACGGCAAAGGCATCTTTGTACATCTGACAGGCATACTCGACGGTGAACGCGATGTTCGCCTACAAAACCGTGGAGGCCCTGAAGAAGCTGAAGGCGCAGGAGGAGGAGGGCGAGGAGCGCATCCCCTTGGTCTGGATCCACGATTATCACCTCATGCTCGCTGCTAATCACATTCGGCAGGTCAGGGATGAACTCCTTTCCTTCCTCGCTTTTGCCACTTCCTAGACTCTTTGCCTTGTCGAGCTTCCTTTCCTCTTTTCTGCCTTTCGTTTCCCTTTCATTTTTGCAGAAATGTTTACTTCAAATTTGCTCCTACTACATTTCCGAAAATGTTTTTAAAGTTTATTATGCCAACAAAATCGTAACAGGGATACTCTGATGAAGCATCAGAATGTCTTTAGGAAATTTCTAATCAAATTTTGTCTTGTTGCCTCCAAACTGAGCAATATGGATCTTTCAAATTGCATCTGAACTCCTGCCTCCTTTTTCCTCTCACAGCATACTCCTCACACACAAGGAAAGCTAGATTTTGCGCCGAAAAGAAGCTTTCATCAGAATTTCATTTCCATGAATTTATCAGGCCATTTAAAAATATTTTCTACATGTACATCTGCTAATCAATGAAGAAAACCAAGTGTAGGCAATGTATGAAGGCTTTTTGCAAGCAAATGCATTGCTATTAATGGAATCGCATATCGGGTTATGAAAAGCACCATTTTTCCACTAATATCCCCGTTTCTCCTGTTTCACTAATTCGTAAAAATCCACGAGCAGGACGTTCCCACGTGCAATTTACACAAGGGAGGTTTCTTGCCACGCTTCCGGCTCACGGAATCGACCGGAAGTTCCACAGGGACTTCACCAAGGCTTTTGTATCTGATGCGTGCCCGCACCCCCAGTCCTCTTATTTGTTCAAATTCATATTGTTTTACCCCACTTATAATTTAGCTACCCTTTTAAAAAGAGTAGATAAAAACTCGCAACTCTTGTTCTTCGTCCACTTGGATTTTCAATAGCGCAGTCATGAATGTATGCTGTTGCGTAACGAAACGCTATCTCGGCAAGGAGCATAGTGCAAATTAAATTTTTGGCGCATTAAAACTGAATTTTGATTTCTTTACCTGTATTTAATTTTTCTGGTATTCCTTGTATTAGATCGCAATACATATCAGAGCGTAATTGGCCTAGTCTGGACCTGTAAAGGTCCTCCTACATGCGGGAAAGCGTTAAAGACAATCAGCGACAGAAAAAAAATATATTGGAGCCTCGACGCAATCCTTGCCGCTTCTTGACTGACCTTGAGGAAACCAAACGATGCCGGACCATTTCTCGAATGCCATCGATAGACGTCAATCGGTATTACGCAACAATGTTCAATTTTTTAACCGTCCATTCCTTTCTTGAATATTCAGCCGATTTGCAACAAAAAAGCAAACTCCTTTTGAAAAGGCACGATATGGCTCGCTCGATACCCGTGAACCGAGATCTGCCAACTTCGTTGCCCGACGAAGACTTGCTCGTTCCTCCCATGTTTCTTTCATCCTGCAGCAATGCGAAGAGGAGAATCTGAAATGCAATCTGGGATTCTTCCTCCACATACCCTTTCCACCATGGGACATTTTTCGTCTCTTCCCCTGGGACGACGACGTCCTTCAAGGAATCCTCGGTGAGGAAAATGCATTCTTAATTCTCCTTCTTTTCTCTCTTTCACCTTGTATAGCACACAAAAGGAAAGATGGCAGCCCTAAGTAGCGAAACCATTGCGACGAAGAGGATATCCACTCTATTAATCGTATGTGGAGGCTTTTGCGTGAATGAAGCGAACCCCCATCACAACAAAGACTGATTGATTTTGCGTCTCATGTCCTCGTGGATTGGGTCTGACGTTCCATGCTGGCGGTGCTCCTGTGGAATGAAAAGAGCTTGCCAATGCCTGGCAATTTGAAGGAAGGAGTCTTAGAGCCAGGAGAATACGGTTCTTGAACCCGTTCCACTCTGTTTCAGACTAAGCTTCTGAATACGACTGAGCTTCTCAAAGGTCTACCCTCTAAGACAGCACTACCTAGTATATTCTTCGTGGCGGATTTTATACCCCTCCAGTTCGTAACCTTGAAACTAGGAGTCAAGTCTGATGGCGTTTATGGAACTCCGAATCTCAAGATTTGCAGGAATCATGTAGTCATGAAATTTGCGAGATTTTTGTCACCACAGGTATTTAAATTGCTTCCAGTGTGTCACAAGTATTGAAATGTGGTCATGTGACGGCATATTGCTTGCATTGAAATGCACTTCCTTTCATCTAGGATGCGACATGGTGGGATTCCACATCGAGGACTACTGTCGGAATTTCCTGGACTGCTGCCAGCGGCGGTTGGGCTTCCGGGTGGACCGAGTCCACAACCTGGTGGACGTGGCAGGGAGGACGGTGAAGGTCCGGGCTCTGCCGATCGGGATCCCGTACAAGCGGTTCGAGGAGATGGCCAATGCGGCGCCCAGAGCACTGCAATCCTCTCAGCAGATCATCCTTGGGGTCGACAGACTGGATTATACCAAGGGACTTGTGAACAGGTGATTTTTTATTCTTTTCCACTCATCGATTGAGCGGCGATAGCTCGAAGTTAAACCCAGTCAGCCATTTCCCCCCCGCGCCAAGTGTGGCTAATCTCCGAGGTTGGCGTATTACAAGCTTGGGTCAAGTATGATACATCAGCCCACACATTCGTCCATGGGCCGTAGCGGAATGTCCGCGTTATCTGTGGCACCCTCATCGATGGGCCAAGTGTGGCTTGTGCGTGGGGTACGTTATTGACAAAAGTAACCTGGCTGGTCGGTCTGGACGTGAAAGCATGGCGCCAGCGTGGCGTATATGTGGGCCACTCCATAAATGTCCGCTTTTTCAATGGCACCCAGCCATTAATGCATCGGTGAGCCAAATGTGGCCTATGAGTGGGGCACATTCATGACAAAAAGAGCCTAGTTAACGTGTTTGCAGTGGAAGCGTGGCATCAACGTGGCGCATGAGGGGAACACTCGATAAATGTCAATTTTTTCTGCGGTAACCTGCTACAATGGTGTAGACGTTTCTATCTACAGTACTAGTACTGTTGGTACTGGTATAACCTCCTGCCCAAGCATGAGTCTGAACCATGAATAGGCAAGAAGCATTGGATAATACAGGAGTTGATAGGGGAAATTCCATCCCTTAATGGAGGGGTTCTTAACATGGGGTACGTGGAGGGTCATTGGAAAATTAAATATGTAATTGAAGGTGCCCCCCGAAAAAAAAAACAAGCATAATTTATAGCCACAAAAGCAGGTGTTCCAAAGTTTCTGATAACCGGGGGTGGGGATCCATGGGTCCTTGAGGATCTGAGGGGTCCGTAGGGGCAAAAAGGTCAGAACTCCTGCCTTAATGCCCTATGGTGCATACACAAATTCAATCCCTAAATTCCTAATTCCAGGTTCAGGACGAAGAAATGATGGATTGAATACGCAGATACCATCATTGTTTTAAAACTCCTTTCGGAAAAAGTTATCCTGGTAAACGGTTCTTCTCCAGAATATGATCTTGTTTATGTCCTGTTCTCCACGAATGTCTCGGATATGGGGATTAAAATAATTATGAAAAGTCTGCATTTATTGATACTTTTATAATAGGACTAGGCGAGACATATGATGAGGTACTCAACACTCCTGTGAGGGACGATTCCAGGGAAAGAGGGAAAGGTACTTTTGTGTACTGTGCGAAAAGCGAGACCCATCTAGTGGCACGAAGGAGAACTTCCACATTTTCCAAAAACTCCAAAGTGCATCTTCGGCACATTGGATCATCACGGTCATTTTTGCGGTATGCATCTCTTATGTTCAAAATGATACGTACGATATTCATCACGGCTTCAAACCATTTGGTAAAGTTTTCTCTTTCCTTCAGTCTGATTGCACTTGTGCGTGAAACATTCATGTCCACCAAGTGTGGAAAAAGTGTGCAAAACCTTCCTGAGCCACAGATAGTCCAACCACTGAAGAGTCACAGAAACGCCACTGCTACCGCAGATACGCCGATCTATGGTCACACATACACATGGACATACACATGCACTGGGAAGTGAAAGAAGGATAAAAAGCTATACATGTTCCTATTCCCAGCAAGTGTTGCGAACCTGAGATTTTGCTGCTTGCTGTTTCCAAGCCTGACTCTTTGGAGTTAATTAAATTCTCAGAGTTGATTCGAAGTACAGTAAAACCTCTGATAGCTTATTCTGAAAAATCTTATAACCTCCAGTAGCTTATGGCAGGGTTTGGCCCCAAGCGCATAAGCCAAGGCTGGTTTTACTGTATGCTGTGGTTGTGCCGATCCACGATCAGACGTGATGCAAACCGGACATGGCGTATTTTAACGATGCTGACGTATCAGGTCACCCAAAAAAGGTTGAGTGAATGTAATAGTTGCGTCCTGACTTCTGGGGGAGACTATTAAAATCTGAAACTGCCAGAATGCGGTGGCGGCCTTCTAATTCGTAAGTTACATTTTTATATCAGGATTTAACCAACCCCAGAGTAGTTACAGGGTTAGTCTAAAAAAATATTGACCCAATGAAAATAAAAATAATTGAATGGCTGCATGGAAAACGGTAAGAACCGTGAATGATACAAAAAGTCCTTCAAAAGTCACACAACCCCATATATTATATAAACAGATGCTGTTGTATGTCTAACTGGAACATCGCTATCATGTGCACATCGCTATCATTTTACGTATTGTTTTTTTTTAAAAAAAAAAAAAACGTGGACTGGGACGGACATACACAGACAAGGACAAATGCCACAAGCGGCGACACTGAGTAGAGGAAAGGGAATTCTATATCGGACATCCCTGACGGCATTGCCCCATCTTCCCACGCTTCCTGTTATGATGTATCCCGTTTTCACGGGCCCGGGAAAGGTGGTGGCAACTTCGATGCCGCTCCGGCCATAGACCCTCCATCGCTGCACATCGGGCCACCGGTGCCGATGTGGCGGGTGCTATTGTGGTGCTCCATGCCCCTACCTCTCGCACCATGGAGCACAGAGTGGCCTATGTTTCAGCCCAAGGGAGAGCAGGTATCTGATTGGAAAGAAAGTTCTCGGAATTTCATGAACAATTATTACAACCCAGTTTATTTAAAAGCAAAATCATCTCAATCATGAATGTAATCACCATTGGCCTCTATCACTTCACGCCAACGTTTATGCAAACTATGGATGCCATTCCAATAGAACTCTGGCGGCTGCGCTACGAAAAAGTTGGCCAAATCGGTTTTCAGGTCGTCTNCAGAACATTCTAGCATGCTCTGGAAAAAAATTGTACTGGATATTCAAGAAATTCCGAGAACTTTCTTTCCAATCAGATAGTACCCGAAAGCAGCCGGGGTGAACTGTCGACCCAGGAGAATACTGCCTCCCGCCGGTCGGATTCGAACCTGGATCTCCCGCGTGCGCCCGGGCCTTATCCAGGGATGACTGAGCCACGGTGACGCGGTATTTTACGTATTGTTGATCCCATGTTTTTCACAGAAACTGTAAATGCTGAACGTTGCTAAAATATCATTCAGCAATTCATTGCCATGTTGAAGGAATTGACGAACGTGACTCGTAGCTTCAACGAGACGGAGTTTGCACCGCGAACTCAACAATGGAAATGCTTGAATTTTCTAGGAAGCGTGTGATGAGTAGTAATCTCTGGTCGCCGCGGTCTCCAGACTTCACATCACCTGACCTGTGGAGATGCCTTAAGGAATGAATACGGACTAACAATCCCAGAGTCTTGAGAAAGTGGAAGCGAAACATTACACAGGCCTCTGCCGGCATTACTCGTGCGATCTTCTGCGAACGTGCGGAAGCGTGTCGCAATGTGCTTGCAGGAACGCAGTGGTCACTTCCAACACTTGCTATGACACTTTTTCGCGGGTGAGCGGGTGAGATGTGTTCCTTCAATATTCAGCCAGTTTTGATTCGACACTAAATTTGTAGGCTTCTCAAAAATAAAAGTTTTATACTGTATCTTGCCAGATAAGCTCCGTACTGCAGATGGGAAAGCCTTCATTGGGTAATGCCTCTTTCTCTTCAGGGATAATTTTTTTTTTGACACGAAAAGAAAAATTAAAGAAAATATTACAAGTGTAGAATAGGGCTGTACCGAATTGTCGGCTAACACCGCTATCGGCCGCCGGTGTTGGACTATCGGCCACATCGGCCATTGGCAGGTTTGGAACCGGCCGGTGCCGATATTCAAAGAAGAACGTGCTGAACGAGGAAAAATAAAAAAATACCAAGTGAACGGGGCTCGGTAACCGATCCTCAACGGCTATAGGAAAAAATTATCGCAGTTCATCCATCGATGAATTGATGTCATTTTCGATAGTTGAGGTATGGTAGGCTTTATCACCGTCGCGAAGGTCACACCTCCCCCTCCAACTCCTCGAGTCACAGGCGACAGATTATGGAAGGCGGATATAGGTCCGCCGCGCCCCGATCGAGGCAAGAAATGGTGGAAATGAGGCAGAAATCTGATCCCGATCGCAGTGAGAAAAGACTGAATCCGTCGACTCTTCCGCCCCCACCCCCCGCCGGCATCGATGCACTATCGATGTTTCAGGTCGATACATGGGTATATTCGAAACACCTAGCGTGGAAGCAATAATAAATTGAACGTGCATTCATAATACGTCTATTTGACTTTTAAAAAGTTTTGCCGAATGCTTTTTCGCTGTTTCCCTACACGTCACGATAGGTACCGGCCGATAGGTATGAGAAAATAATCGACCATCGGCCTACCGGCCAAATGTGGCCACCGGTACAGCCCTAGGGTAGAGTACTTTGCAAACTGGAGAAACAGTAGTACCAAATGCAATGAAAACTCTCAACAAATTCGCAACATCCGTGGTATTTGAGCAGTTGGGGTCAGTTGTTGACCAATTTTAAATGCATCGAATCAACGTCCATATTTGTGCCAGTATCCCTGAAGAGGTCTGTATCCTGAATCCTTGAGCAGCGGAATTCCCTCCTGCCACTCGAGGACCGCCACATAAGGGGTTAGCACTTGTCAACTGAGTTGATATACTCCATATTTTATTGAGGGGGTGGGGAAGTCGTAAAAAGACTAAGCGATGGGGAGAGGAATGCACCGTCCAATGGGAGCCCTCCTTGTGGGAGATGTCACGCGTCATCATGGCACGGTTCATATCCCTGAGCATGTGGTTGCTTGGATGTGATCCGCTCAAGGCGGAGCCGTTCAGTCGGTCTCGCTGTAATTTGCAGGAAGTTCCTCTAAGTGTCCTGGACGATCTATATCCAAAAACCCGATCAGTCCCTGCCTGTCTAAAGGCAAGAGCAAGGAATAGGCTATAGGCCTAACATCATTAGGGTCATTGTCACCGTTCGCAATGAACGAAGTGACATGCCATGAATGCCTGCTTTATGAGAACTTGGGAGTAAAGTGGCAAGAAGGATCTTCATCCAAGATGCCAGTCCTTCAAAGGAAATCGAATCCAGAAAATCTTCGAAAATAGGCATTTATTTGGTTGAAATTATTGCATCAAGGAAGTGACGTTGGTTCTTTAAATGTTAGATTTCCGCTTTCATACCTTTCAATTCATTGTATAGAACAAAATCATGAAAACGATGAGTGGAAAACTTATAACAAAAGTCAGGTACATAATAAAAATCGCCATTACCCCCATTGGGGATTGAAGACTCGCATATTGGGGAGACTCCACAAAAGTTATATTTCTTAGTCTTCTACAGCATGTTACATCTTATTATTTAGCATATTTCAAGATATCAACGCGGAAATCAAAATTTAAAGACTTAATTTCACTTCTTTGATTACTGCAACCGAATAAATGGTGCTAGGACAAAATGTCGCCGGACACAATGTCGCGGACGAAATGTCGCGGATAAAATGTCGCCAGGACGAAATGTCGCCGGACAAATTGTCGCGGGAAAAATGTATTGGACTAATGTTAACGAGACATACTATCGCTTGATAAAATATTCGCCTTACGTAATTAAAGATGCGCGATAGTGCTAACGATCATGTTGGAACTCATAACTCAATTCATCTGCCTACTGTGCCATTCCCTGACTTGATGGAGTTTATTCAAACTCAGAAGAACGGAAGGAGTATCAACAAATTAATGAGGCATTCCGTACAATGTTGCTGACTTTGCAAATCGGGATATTGTACCATTTTTGTTTGACGTTGGACGCGTTGTCATCATTAATGTCCTGTGACTGAACTTCATCGGTCATGTGATTCCCCTTTTCTTGGGCTTGGTGATATCTTCATGTGATTTCATATTTTGCATGTGCTTGGTACTTTTTTACGGCTTTTTCCTGAAGCAAACTTTCTCTCTATACCTATCCCAGTTCAACCTCCAACCATATAACACCAGAACCACCATTTTCTCAGTGGTGACATTTTTTCTTGGCGACATTTTGGCCGGCGACATTTTGTCTTGGCGACATTTTGTCCTGGCGACATTTTGTCCGCAACATTTTGTCCGCGACATTTTGTCCGGCGACAATTTGTCTGCTCACGGAATAAATGCCTATTTTCGAAGAGAGTTTCTGGATTCGATTTCCTTTGAAGGATTAGCATCATAGATGAAAACCTTCTTGCCCTTTAGTCCCAAGTTCTTATCAAGTAGGCCTTTTTTTTTGGCATGTTGTCATTTAATAATGGCCCTAATGATATTAGGCCTATAGCCTATTACCTGCTCTTTGTCTTTAGAGAGGCAAGGACTGATCAGGTCTTCGGATATTGGTCGTCCAGGATACTTAGAGGAACTTCATGCAAATTACAGAGAGACCGACTGAAGGACTCTGCCTTGAACGGATCACATCCAAGCAACCATATGCTCAGGGATGTGAAGCATAGAACCGCGCCATGATGGATGGCGTGACGTTGCCACAAGGAAGGCTCCCATTGGACGGTGCATTCCTCTCCATGTCACTTGGTGTAAAAGGGGAAGAAGTTGAGTTCAGAAATGTTCATTTTTCCAAGATTATTTCCAAAAAAAATTCTCCTTCGTCAACATTATTGGTCTCATTTTTTCACCATCGGCATTGACACTCGTCTAATGAGCCTCGTAACCCTTTGACAGTCTACCGCGTGCATAAAGATTCAGGATATCGGCTATAAGTAGGTTTTACGTTGCTCTACAACAAGGATGTCAGACATTCGGCCCGCGGGCCGGATTCGACCCGGAGGTAGTTCATCCGGCTCGCCGGTTGTTCAAGTTGAAATTTTCGCTTGGATTGATTTCGGCACAGACTTCGGTGAAAAATCATGAGTGTGGTCCGCATGCATCTGCAGGGTGGGGAATGCGGCCCGCTGACCGATTTGAGTTTGACACCCCTGCTCTACGACTTTCTGCTGAAGTTGGCTCCACATTAGCTCAACGGTAAGTTTCACATGGGGCCAACGTGTCCTGATGTTGGAGGACTACATTGAGCCAAAGTGAATCCCACGAAAATTTTTATCTGGGATGAGTTACGTTACTTTTGAAAGATCTTATATTTTGGAAATGTTCGGGGTCTAGTCAGGACATACCAGCCTTTATTGAATTTCAGAATTTCTATGCATAACCATGGTTACCGTGGTTCTACCGAGATTCATTTTCCAAACTTGGTTGATCAAATTAGGTAACGATACGAATTGGGACGATCGATTCAGGTAATTTCCAGGTAACTTCGCGCGATCCAGTCTTCTGATCATGATTCTCTGCCGGCCAGGATCCGATCCTTCGAGCGATTGCTGGAGAAGCATCCCGAGCACTTGGAGGTGGTGAAGCTAATGCAGGTGGCCGTCCCTTCCCGGACGGACGTGAAGGAGTACCAGCAGCTGAAGGAGCAGATAGACCTGGAGGTCGGACGCATCAACGGACGCTTCTCCACGGCCAATTGGTCCCCCATCCGGTACATCTTTGGGTGCATTTCCCAGGATGAGCTCGCCGCTTATTACAGGTCAGTGGCACAACGCTCTTGTACCGTAGATGGTGTCGGCAATTGCTTGAAATTTACTCTCCATTGGTGTTTCGGTGGACTCGACAGAGGGGCTGATTTCATGATGTTATATTCCAGACTGAGTCAGAGATTAAATAGACTTCCCTAATTGTCGGATCAGACCACATAGACGTACTGGCGCATAATAGTGTCTACACGTATTATTAAATTGTAATTTGTAAGAGAGTTTAAGAAGGCAGTGGTAAGTCAAATCTCATTCTGGTATCCCATCGATTTGACGAGATTTGCCACCGCATTATCCATTCCAGTGAGACAGGTCACTGTGTCTATGCCCATACCTGATGTTCGGAGGATTCCAGGTTACTTCGACGGACACTTCGACTGGACACCGGACACAAAGAAACAACCCGTCGAAGAAGTGTCCATGAACTGTTCAGAGAGAGGGGTGACATCACCTGTGCCACTCCCGTATCAGTATTCGGAAATGTCCTCCACCGTACCTTGCAAGGAATTATTTAGGAATTGATCGCCTAGAAATAGTGCGCACCACCTAAGGAGATAGAGCCTGGTGAGCCTGACTAGCCATAGGGTGACCCTGGTTTGAAAGAGCTTCCGACTGCATAAACAAAGGGAAACGAGATGCACTACCCTCCACTCCCATCGTGTGGAATCCCCGTCCATCCTGCTGTCGCGTCTCTCAGGCGTCGTCTAAGCGGCCCTACAGAGCGCGATAGTTCTTGCACACTAGTCTCCCGCGCGTTCAAGACCCATCTAGACAGTCCGCCTGATCTTTAACAGGGGGGGGGGGGATTCCACTTAAATCTAAGGGCAGCGTAGAATTGCTTCCGGCTTGGGTACTGCTCCTGTTCAGCTTTTTTAGTGGGCCTCCTTTCCTGAAAGGAAAGAGACCACTTATGCTCTCGTCCTGTCCGTCCGTGGGTAACACTTTGGTTGTCCGACGAGAACTAAAAAATATTGGCTTGATCAATGCGAAAATTGGCAAGCGGGTAGATATGAACAAGAGGCAGGTTGGCTAGCAAGGCTCTCCTTGGCAGCCGATATTGATCCAATATTGGGGTGCTACTGGCGGGGCAGGTGCTACCGTACCGTACCGTGTTGATCTCGCTTATATAAAGATGCTGCTTGGGTAGCTACTTAATTAAGATGCTATTCGACAGAGATTCGTCTGTGGCACTGGTAACCCCTCTTCGAGATGGAATGAACCTGGTGGCGAAGGAATACGTGGCCTGTCAGGTGGACAAGCCAGGCGTGCTGATCCTGTCTCTCTTCGCGGGAGCCGGGGAGACGATGCACGAGGCCCTGCTCGTGAATCCCTACGAACTGGACGGCGTGGCGGACACCCTCCACCGCGCCCTCACGATGCCCGATGATGAGCGGGAGATGCGCATGTATCACTTGAAGAAGAGGGAGCGGACCATGGATGTGGACTTCTGGCTCAGCTCCTTCCTCAAGGTATGCCTCTTCTCAGAATGTTTTATATGACTGAAGACAGGGTTTGTAGTATGATAAGCAAAGCTCTCATGCAATATGCTCTGATATATAGATTATTTTGTAAATAGTCGTAACGTCTTAAAAAGCTCTACGCTTGCAAATTCTGTTAAGTTTCCGCCATCATTAACCTAAGTGTAGATAGTTGATACATTGAAGTCAGATGTGAAATGAACTTGAAATTATAAGTAAGCTAAAGCCTACTGGTAGGTCTTTAGTATTATGCTATTCGACAAAGGCGTGAGATGTGAAGTATAGTGATAAGTGATTAGGTAGCGATATAGGCTGGTTATCATGTTAATCTGTAAATATACGAAGATACATCAAAATGTTCCAGGATCGATTCTCGTGATTCTAAATGGTAATAGCACAAGACTTGTGCCTGCTAGTATAGTAAGAACATGACCTTGGGAAGCGAGCTTCACAAGCTCGGCGAGAAACGGCGCAGCGACTGTTTTCAAAGCATACGCTGCGTTGGACCCCTGTCGTTCGCTACAAGGTCACAACCGGAACAACGAGCAGTTATCAAATGCCATGGCTGGCAGCTTTTAACAGCCGCTTACGGAGAACATGCCCTGAGCAAATCTCGTGCGTACGAATTGCGAAGGCAATCGAAGATAACGAGCGGTGTGGCCGTCCTGTGGAAAATCGATGTTCATTGCTTTCATCGATCCCCGATCTGTCGCTGAAGGAGGTTGAAAATAATGGGTTCCAGGAGATTTTCAAGTCTCTTTACAAACGTTGGGAGAAGTGTATGGAGAGTCAAAGAAAGTTATTTGAAGGCGATCGCACGAAAACCTGAATTCGTTGCATGTGTTAGCAATACAATGTGCAGCCCTGGAACATTTTGATGGGACATTCTGTTTTCATGAGCTAGTATTTCACTACAGCCATGGTGTCCAATACATTCGCCACTTGCCACGTGTGGCGAATCGGCCACAGACACGTGACGAATTGATGCTCGTCAGCAGTTATATTTTTTGAAAGTAGGTTTGAGGTTGTAAACCTCAAATCTACATTTCAAAGATTGCACTTATTATTATTATTATTATTGCATACATTTTGTATCATGTGGCGAACATGGTGACCTGATCGCCACAAGTTTGGCGAGCATCGAAATCCTATTGGATACCAATGGACTACAGCAGTGGTCGGCAACGGTGGTGGCGGCTCGGATCGCCATAATACAGTCAGGCCGCGGGTCAATATCTGAGAAGTAGTGCTGAGAGGTGCGGATACGTTTAAGTGCGCTCAGAGATGACAAAAGGAAGATTTTTTTTTTGCATTTCTGTTCATTTGCAAGCATGTTCGTATTTCAGTTCAATGTCCACACTTTAATCGTAGAATCAGGTACAATATTGCAGTACATTAAACTTGATGCTACCACAATGTGTGATTCTTACTATTTCCACTCCGTATGACATTTGCTATGACCATCAATAAATCCCTTTTAAAAAGTTAGAATTTACTTGCCCAGTCCTGTATTCACGCACGGCCAGTTAACGTTGCGTTTTCAATAGCTCGCTCCAAGGCCAATGTCAAGATCTGGATTTTAATTACGGATCAACTGGGTAAACTATATGCTGAACACGCCAAATGGTGTGTTCAGCGCGACGAACCTCCACTGCTTTGCTTGTTGGATGATTTAAGTCCCCTGCAGTGAAAGGGTTAAGAACCCCTGCTCTAGGCAGTAGTACTATCGAATTTAAAAGTCTAAATGGACGCGTCCTAGTGATTTCTTTGTAGGCAGTTGTAATTGAGGCTTGGAGTTCATCGCCAGAGTGCGTCAGAGTGCAGCATACGACGGTTTTCAGAAGACCCCTGAAATGACATACAGAGGCGTTAAATCAGATCTGACCGGCTGCTCATATGTCCCACGATGTCCGATCCATTTGTTTGGGTAATTTTAGTCCAATTGCTCACGCACTGCCCTCGCATAGTGGGAAGCTTCATTTTGGAGCAAATCCAGGTACAAGATCAGTGAGTGAGGCCTAGGCTTACCTTTTTTTTCCCCAAAGTTCCCTCACTTTTGGGGTACCGTGTATATTGATCCGTGTCGATGCGCACATCATACGGAGTAGATAAAAATATGCATTCCTCATTATCGATTCTGGAATTGATAAGTGCTCCATTTTTGCAGGCAATGGGGAGCCTTGACTTCGGCGAGGAGCAGGATGAACCAATGGTTACGAAGAGCCTGGGCCCTATGACAATGGAGGACTTCGATGAATTCCTCAGCGATTATATCGGAGACACGGCCAAGATAGCCCTCCTCTTGGACTACGACGGAACGCTGGCCCCCATCGCTCCCAAGCCGGATATCGCCTTCATGCCGGCAGAGACGAAGAACATCCTCGTCCGACTGAGCAACAGCAGCGACATCGCCATCGCCATCGTATCCGGCCGAAGCCTGGAAGACGTGCGGAAGATGGTCGGGATCGATGGAATCACCTACGCAGGGAATCACGGCCTGGAGATTCTCCACCCAGACGGAAGCAAGTTCGTCCACCCGGTCCCCGAGGTGTATCACGAGAAGATGCGGAACATGTGTCAGGAGCTGCAGGACGAGTGCTGCAGGGAGGGTGCCTGGGTCGAGAACAAGGGCAACATCTTGACTTATCACTTGCGCGCTGTACCGATCCAGCTCAGAAGTACATTCAAGCAGAGGGCGACTGCCATTATCATCAAGAATGGCTTCAAGTGCTATCCGGCTCTCTGCGCCATCGAAGCCAGGCCACCTGTCCATTGGAACAAAGTAAGATTATTTGCTAGTGTCAACAATTTGCCGACATGGCTCTCTTGGAGATTTAAACGTTTCCTTTCTCCTCGTATGAATTAGGAAGGTATTGACCAGATTAGCAAAGACTTCCCAGACAGAGTTCTTCCCAAAGAACTCATGTAATAAGATGGGTAGTATGACCTGTTTCACCATTGATTAAAGGTATTCCTAAAACATTATTTATTAGCGTCCAAGAGAAACGTTACAAGGCAATTTAGGCCTCGCCCACATTGTAGGATTCGCAATGGCATTACTATACACCTACTCTCTGCTGAACAAGTCAGTCTCCGAAAAATATCACGTATTGATATATGCCAAGGCTAACGCGGCAGCAAAGGGACTAGGCAATTAAAATGTTCCAAGAGGGTGTAACGTAACAGGCGTTTCACCCCATTGGGCACTCTCGGAACTGGCAGAACACTTGACCTTGAAGGATGTAGCGATTCTCAAGGGCCAGTGTTTCTCCGGTTCTGATGCGGCGCTGATTCGACCCGGCATGGGTCACAGGAGCACATCCGAATTGCTGCGCGAATTTCTGTTGCGTTTCACCCTCTTGGAGCATTTTAATCGCCTGATCCTTTTGCTGCTGCTTTAGACTTTGTATGTCTCTGATGTTTTTTTCAGCGGCGGTATGATATGCACAGTGGAATCTACTCATTTTTATCTACAGAAGTCTGGACTTTACATATGGCATGGAGAAAACCAAAATGGGCATATTCCTGATGTAGAACGTGCCCAGCACTCAAAGGCTGGCGAGTACACGCTAATGATGTTCAGGTGGTGTTGACTTGCTCAGCGAAAGGCATATATAACGCCATCACAACTCCTACCACGCGGGCGAGCCCTGCGTTACCCAAGTAGCACATAGGCAGCGAGTGATAGGTGGTCCAAGCGCTATAATGGCTGAGGCGGTAGCGTGGCCCCAAGTGGGACATGCTGTAGATCAGGGGTGTCCAACTAGCGGTCCGCCAATCATTTTCCTCCGACCCGTGAATTTCTCTTTAGCAGTTGATTTCTGAAATTTTCAGCAAATTTCACTTGTTCGCATTAAATATGTGGTGTGTGTGGTGTGAGATTCGTTGGTGAGACCCCCAAACACATCTGAACCAAATCATTTGATCCCCGCCAAATTGAGTTGGGCACCCCGGGTGTAGATGGTCCGCTACTTAATGCCCGTGGAACTCTCCCCCATCCCCATAGCGTGGTGCATGGCGTGATCCAGATGCAGTACCAATAGTCACCACTAGCTGGTACTCGTGTTCCCTGCACCCCTCAAATGTAATTAATGACATGGTTTTTGTTTTAGCAAAAGTGTTTCCTCCTCTCTTTCCTCTTTTTATTGTGCAATTTCAGAACATACGAAGTGTGGCAAGTTCCCAGACTTTATTTTAAAAATATATTTTGAAACTCTAAAATTAATTACATTTATCGCCTTCTAAGTACTCCCCTCCAGAACTTATAAACTTATCCCAACGATGCTGCAATTGCTGGTTGCTGGAAACAGCGGTGGAAGTCTTCTTTCGAGATGTCTTTCAGAGCCTGCATCACGTTTGTTTAAAGGTCTTCAATGCTTTGAAGTCGGTGGCCTTTAAAAAAATGTTTGAGTTTGGGAAACAGCCAAAAGTCGCGGAGGGCTAAATCGGGCGAACACGGCGGGTGATCCATTTCAGGGATCCGTTTGGCGGCCAAAAACTCTGACAGACAGGGCTGTGTGAGCCGGCGCGTTATCGTGATGCAGGATCCACGAGTTCTCCTTACACAGATAGCCCCTTTTCCTCCTCACAGCCTCAACGCAACCTCTTCAAAACGTTCTTGTACAGCATCTGGTTGACTGTTTGTCCTTTTGGCACAAATTCTGAGTGGACGATTCCATTGACATCAAAAAACAACAAATCAGCATCGTCTTGATTTTCGACCTCGACATTCGGGCTTCTGGTGAAAACGTTCCACTCCCCAAGATCCACTGATTACTAAATATGTAAGGTGAATGAAGAATGCTTTGGCAAGTCATTATTGTAATACTAACAAGCTAAAGAAATATGATCAAAACATTAGGCCTATTATGGTTGTCTCAAATCCAGTGAAGTAATGAGAAGGCACAATGCTCTTTGTTACTGCTTGCAGAAATAAAGGAGTCAAAGGCATCAAGGATCACATGGGTCAAAATGTCAAAGTTATGTTTCAATGAGTCATTTGAGAGTTTGGCTGACAAAACAGGATTCAGATGATCAGGGAGAAGCAATGGAGACAGATCTTGAAATGGATTGTCTCTTGAGTCAAATCATGATTATCAGTGTTCATACTTAACCACATTGCTTGACTTAATGTAATCATAATCAGCATTGTTGCCATTCTGAGAAATGTCCAATCCTCATTAGATCTGACCATATGTGTGTTTGTTCTCCTTAACTTTTATATTTTACCTAAGTTTGATGAGTGCAATAATGATTCCAAAATGGAATTGCACAGTCTCACATGCTTACAAACAGAATACTCCTGACTTTGAGTGGCACTGAGTGGTTGGGTATAGGGTAGGGCTGAACCAATTCAGCTGATGTGCCGATTCCCAATATCAGTTCTTGAAAAATTACCAATGTTGATCTTTGTGCATGTCTACATGACAGGTCTTTTTTCAAAGAGTTAGTGTAATCAAGATGACATTAACCCAATCATAGGCAAATTTTTTAGTATGTGAAAATGACAAAATTCAGTACATTTTCTTTTCCCACCTAAGGAGGTTGTTCACCAGCCAGCCACACCTCGACCACCTGCCTCAGAGTACTGCATTAGCATTTCACATGAATACAATTGGAAAAATATAAGACCACGAAGACCTAGGCTAGGATACGCCTTATGAAGCACGTATCACAAGCCAAGCGCAACCAACATTTGTCGTAGGCCCATCATGCTGCACACGCGAAGGTTGCATCTTACGTTAGAGGCCAAGGCCTAACGTTAACGTTAGACGTCTGCGCATTTAACGGAAGCAGGCCCATTCAATTTGCTTATCTTCTTATAATTTGCTCCGTAGTCTCTGGAGTGTGGTAGTGGACACAGGTTTCATTTCTACTTACAATTGATTTGCGGTGGACCGAGACATAACTTCCGCCTATCATAAAGAGCTCGTCCCAATGTCATGGCTGGTAGACTGCAAGACCCTGGTGAAGCTATTTAATCATGGGAAGAGGCTTTAAGGCAATGATGTGACAAGGGATCTGGAGATCCAGTTCCGGCTTCACACCAGAATCTCTTCCTTTTTTATTTTTGCTGTTGGGTTTATTTACAATCGGAGAGAGCGGCCATTGAGTGAGAAGCAACCACTGAGCTAAGAAATTGGTTGGGTCTAGGCTAAAGCGGGCCTGCGGTGAGCATTGGCCGAGTAATGGAGCAAGTACCGCGGGAACAATGGAGTAGCCCTGAATACGAAAGCATGCCCTGCCAATACCCGCCAACACCTCTACCATGCACCTCGTGGTTGCCCTTCCGTTTCCTTTAGCCTATGTTTACCTTTGAACGTTCACTCGAAGTTCGTTTGACTTTATGCCTTAGACTTCAGGAGTCAGGAGAGTTAGTGATATCAA